GCTGGGCATATCATGCACACAGGACCTCTCTGCTATAGTTGGCCAACTATTTACCACTCTAGTTGGGACGGGCCCAACTATAGTTGGGACTGATGATGTAGTTGGGATGTAACACAACCATGAAAACAATTTTCCTCAGACAGTTTCTGTTTTCTCAACTTATCTCCTAAAATACATAGCATAGGCCCTAGTGAGATGCAGTGTGTTTTGTTTTTGGGTGAGTTGGTTGGCCTACTATGGTTTTGCCAATATGGAACTCTTAGTGATTTTTTTTTTTGCAGGGGGCTGATCCACATCCCCGAGGATTGTTTTTTCTGTTTTTTTTTTTTTCTCTAGGCCTACATGTACATGAAAGACGTCCAAGATCTATTCACTACAGAGTGGTCTGTTTCCTGTTTCCAGTAATGATAATAATAATTGAAAATTTACAATGCGTCGCTTCCATAAAAATGATCAACGGCACAGTACAAGTTAACGTAAAAAATAATTAATTGAAGAAGTGAAAGGGTAAGGATAAATGAATGAATGTCACTGCACTATTGCCACATGTTGATGCATTAGAAGTAGAAAGCAGCAAGTGCCATAACTATCAAAAGCCATTGTGTGTGTTTTTTTATCAGAAGCTGAAAAATTCTTGCCCAAATGCTAAGACTACATTGACTTCGGCACTGTATCTTGGAAAGTGGAGGGCAGTCTAAGTGCCATCATTAAACTACTGTGTTGAACATTGTGACAGCTTCTGATCAGCTGCGTGAAGCTGCCTAACAAAGCCATCATGTCCATGTCCACACCAAAAGCTACCGTGCAGGGTACTGGCCAAGCACCAGCATCCCAAACTGCATCACGCCCTACAGTCACACGGACCGTAGTCACTGCGACAGGAACAGCTAGCATCCCCAAGATGACGCCTCAGTACGGCATATCCCCACTCATCAGTGACAGCTTGACGAAGAGACGCAGCTCCTCGCGTTCCATCAAGCGCAAGAAGTTTGACGATGAGCTTGTGGAGAGCAGCTTACTGAAGGTACGTGGATTGACAGTATTACACCAGTTGTGTGATTTATAAGACAAAAACCATTCAGCAGCCCATTTCATGAAACTTAACTGAATAACATGACTCCACTTACGCGAAATTTTATTGCGAGGGTTGCGCAACAAATTTAAGACTGTAAGTCCATGACTTATGCAACAAATCGTTGCGTAAGTTGTGCCAAACGAAGGGAAAATGAATGATTTAACCAGCTTATCATGCTCGGTTGAGCCTCATCATTGCCAAACGTAACAAGGCTTAAAAGAGAAATGTACAACTTTGTAGTAGAAGGTCATGAAAAACTTGTTTGGCCGGGGGAGAATTGCAAGATTTTCTCTTCGGTTCTTATGAAGAAAAGACAAAACTTTTTTGAAAATGGCGGATGGAGGTGATTCAATGACTGTTAAATGATTGTTATTATATTGGAGAGGAACAGCCAACGTAAAAGCCCTTTTGGTCTTCATCCAAGAAATTTAATATCAATACAAACCTGGCGCAGCTGCTCAACTTTTTGTTGAATCAAACGTAAGTATATTGTGCAGGTACGACGTGAATTTGTGGCACAAGGCTCACGCACTTTCAAATTTACGCCATGCTTCATGAAATTGGCTGCAGGTATTGAAATACTGTCTGAAATATCAGGTGAAAATACACCAGAGCCTGCTGGGTTTAGACTCTGTCCTTCCAAAATTTCAGTTCACTAAAGGTATGTTTACAAGACCATTGTACAAAACATGTTTGTATTTGGAGTTTTAAAAAATCCTGTTGATAGTATGAGGACTTGCGCAAGACGTAAAGGAGCAGTGCAGAACTGATTGGGAATTCTTCTGGTTCTAATCATAGTATGTCCATCTTTAAATTCGTAATTTAGACTTCCAAGGGCAAGGTGTCATCAACGACTTCTCCGTCAGGCCAGCCACCGCCTGTCGAGAAAGAGGAGAAGAAGGAGAAGGAGAAGGAGATTGTGAAGCCCCCTGTCCACCACCCACCTGTCACAGAAAGGAGAAAGGTGTGAATTGATTTCTGTCTCTCTGTGGAGCAGTGTTGTGATCAAGTCCACATCGGGTCCTTTTCACAAGTCTCTTCGCAAATCCGTTCAAAAGTCTTTTATGAATTAATAAGTAATGTTCAGGGTTTGTTATTCAGTGTTCTAATTTGAATCCTGTGCCGAGTCACAAATGCACTGAGATATATTATACAAATTAGAATGTTTACGAGTGCAATGGTAAGAATATTCTCGTAGGTTGACATATGAAATGTTCCATTCAATGAGCCGCAGGCGAGTTGAATGGAACATTTCAGCTTTCAACGGATGACAGTGTTCTTTCCATTGCACGAATGAAAAACATTCATTAATTGTTTTATATAACATCTAAGTACATTTTTGTCACTTGATTGGAGGATAACTTTTATAAAATAAAGGAATATAAATAAGGTACTTACCTTCTGTCATCTGCTTTTGCCTGATGCATTCTAGTCGGCGTACAACATCTGAATTTGTTTCTTTGTATTCTTGCGTCCGCTCCGTCAAGTAATTCGACAATTTCCTCGTCATTCAGCAACACGACATTGCTTGAACCCGCCGCCATTTTAGTGATCATGGGCATAACACATGCCCTCTGTTGACCAATTACGTATTGAAGTCCTTTGCATGCAATAGATCAAACTGCACATAACCAAAATTGCACGGTGTATATAACAAAATTCAACATGACGTAAGCCGTGAAATAGTCTATAAAATATCAGGGGACATACAATCCTCCAATCAAATGACAAGAATCTACTTAGGTGTTATATAAAAACAGTAAATAGATAAGACGGAGCTGGAGAAACTATGACAACAAAGGTCTGAGCACTCGTGGCTCTTGACTCTGGGGAGAACACTGAATACATATATTTGGACTATAAGGTATGCCGAAAATGTCACGTCTTGAGTCCATCTGCAACAGTTCTGTACATTTGTTGTTCACCTTTGGTAAGCTGTGTGTACCAGGGCCTGCATTCCTTTTAGTTCAGATATGAGGCTTAACCTTGATTCCTGCTGTACCTAAACCTAAACTTAACCTAAGCATACATGAGAAAGATGACACTTGAACAATTGCTGACACCTATTTCTTTCTGTTTATAATTTTTGTGTGTGTGTGCTCATCAAAGCAGGTTGCCTCACGTCCATCCACCTCCCAAACTCACCGGCCACCTTCCTCACACAGACCCTCCTCTTCCAGCCGGCGGTCCAAGAAGCCCAAGTCCCTTCTCTCCCTCACCAAGGATCACGGACGGTGGAAACCCCAGGATGACCTCCTACTGATCAGTGCAGTGCAGCAGGTATGGCCAAATATATAACAAAAATAAAAAAAGTCACACCTGTCTCACGCTCTCGGATGTTTATTACATGTCGTGGGGACAGAAAACGTCATGGGGACACATTTTTGTCGCCACAACTTGGTCCCAACCGATTTAATAAATGAAAGTGTCCCCCCCCCTTGCCTGGTGAGTTTTGTGCACATTATGTTGAAAATTGATCATGCAGTCCATGCTAGTTACAAGTGCTGCAGTGGGTGGATCATGGTGTCCTGTACTGGCCTGCATGAGTTTGTCATAAAGCACTGTTTTGGGTTTGTGGTTGTGTGTTTGAAGCAGTTGGAGTGTTTATAATCTTTGTTGTTGTACCAGTCAATCAGGAAAACAATTCTGTAGTCCCAAGCAGATGGGATCATTAACGTTCCTGGATACATCTCAACTCCAAAGAGAGTTGACAGTTGAGGTGTTGTGTACTCAGGACGATTCTCAGCCATTAGCTTCCAATTAAATCTCTGGCTTGACCGAAAGAAGCAAGTCTGATAGAGTTTGTCGCTCAATAGCAGGTGTATTCAGGGCCGACCTCAAATTAGAATCCGTGTCATTCATCTCCTCTTTTCAGGACAAAATTTTGAAAAAAAATACTAGTTGCTGAAATATTTGAGACTTTCTTCACACAAAGGTCAATGTACTATCTGCAATGAAGACATGGACAAAGATACTAGAAAAGATTGACAGAGTATGGGCACTGACAGTTTGAAATCTGTCATTGTTTCTTGAGCTGGAAATACCTCATAAGTTGACGATTTTGCTTCCTGCAGACCAATGATTTGGAGACCGTTTACCAGGGGGTGAAGTTCTCCTGTCGATTCACACTGAAGGAGGTTGAGGAGAGATGGTACGCACTGCTGTACGACCCCGCCATCTCAAAGTAGGTCGATTATATCATTTGTGATTGACGGACTGTGAAATTTCATTCATTGATTGCCTTCCAAAACGGGATATTCTTCTCAAGGGGTTGAAAAGAAATTTTCATGTCTTGTTTTTAGATGTGTATATGACCACCAGGGGTTCAGTGACCTATGTCGCTCCAGTAATTTCCTCAAGAGGAACAGAGCGTACTGTTGCAAATGTTGGGTCCTTTCCCTTCACTGACTCTCATAGCCATCACTTTTTCTTGAAAGCAATTCTGTCAGTGGTGCACCTATGAACAATACTTTTCGGAACCGCTCAGTTTTGTGGCAAAACAACATTTTTTCTTTGTATAATGCTCTTTAGTGAGAATGGAGCATTTTCAGGTATGAAGTAGTTTGGAGGATACAGGACGCAGGTTAGATATGAAAGCACTTCAAAATCACCTGCCACTGGCGACCTCAGGTTTAGTGTGCAAGGTCAGGGAATAGTGACTGTGCTACATCGAATCAGAGGGCTTTGGTGTGTCGTTTCCCAGGTTATCCCAGCAAGCCATGCGGGCATTGCATCCAGAGGTTAAGGCTTTCGTTCTCAGCAAAGCCATCTACAGCGAGGATGAAGAGAATCTGCTCGGCACAGTCACTTCCGTAAGTAATACGTTCCTTCACCCAATTTCAAAGTGCCGCTTAAGCGAAAAATTTGTCTAAGTGTGAAAAAGCCTTGCTTGACAAATCGGGTTACCAGCCAAAACCTCTTGTGATATACATTGTTTTGGAATGGTATTTACCTGTCTTTTGGTTAGCATGGCAATCACACAGAGTTTGAGCTGGTAACCTTTGTTTATCAAGCAAGGTTATTTCGCGCATAAGTAAAGTCTGTGCGTAAGCAGCTCTATGAAATTGGCCCCTGCAGGGGAACAGAGAACAGAGGCAAGGTATCACACATCCCCGCTCATTATCATCTAAATGTTGCCGAAGTTGTGTATTTACGGTCTCGGTTTTGTGTGACATTCTGCAGTCAGGGCCAACAAAAGGGATGTTTGTGTAATTGAACGAGCTAATTCCTGTTCAGATGAGATACCAACCCAATTAAAATTCTTTACAGTGGTGAATTAAGCAGGTGCAGGAAAGCAGCATGGCAGTACAGTAACACTGACCAATTCTGTGTCATAACTGTCCTGCCAAAATATTCACAGAAAATGGATTAGCCCTCCTGAGATGCAAATGTGCATTCATCAAAAAGTTGTCCTATCAGTGACACGTATGTGACTGTGTTTAGCAGTTCAGAGTCCCCCGCCTTGTTTATTTACACAAAGCAGAATCGACTGGCTGTTTCTATAACTTGATATAGCTGTGCCGTGAGTCTTGATGATCAGTAAGCTGGCTTTGTCCATCAGTGGCCTGCTTTTGTCTGTAGCAGGGGGGAAGTATATTGAATTTTGGACGGTCTGTGACTATTATAACTACAGGAGGATAAATGCATTAGGGTAATTCCAGAAATTAGGATGTCCATCCGATATGTGATTCTGTAAGTTCGGAACACATTTTCTGATTTCCAAGAGTGATGAATTAATGCAAAGTACCTGCCAAACAAATAGTAAAAGTTTGAAATCAATTCCAGTGATATTTCCATGTCAAATAACAAAGGTCAGATGTAACAGGGACACGAAAATGTCACACTTTTGGACCCCTGATTTCTGGAATTACCCAGTACTGATTTCAAAGCTGTCCAAATTTGATGCATTGTAATGACGTCGAGGTTTTTTCCCAAAGTATCAAGAACCATGTGTGTCAACAATTTTGCATAAAAGTGTGGGTCTGGTCAATCAGTAGAAGCCGTTTTAGCATCCTACATCTCTGTGTGATCCTAGTAGCACTTTTTTTTCTTTTTTTTTCTCAACAGACTAGTCAACCAACTGTTGAGACGTTTCAAGAATTAATTACCAAGAGCCCCACATCCTTCCATCCGGCCAGAACGGCCAAAGCTCTCTACACTCACTGGCTGCTCATGAAGCAGTACCACCTCCTGCCTGACCAATCAGGTGAGCCAAACAGTCATCCATATTGGCAGATGTTTGCGTGTCTCGCTCCTATTGGGTGGTCACTGGGTTAATATCAGCTGCCTGACCAATCAGCTGATATAAAGCAGCATTTTTGTCATCCACCGTTTTTACTTTCTGCTTCTGAAAACAGGAACGAATAAACGATCCTCTAATTTCTAACATGTATTTCTTCACATCTGACTTGTCACAAAGTTGAACTTTTTGATACAAAAGATACCTGAGAAGCAACTTTTAAGCCTAACCAGTGACAAGAGCACAGCCTATAGTGAACTTTCTGCTTACATTGATCTTAATGTATATTCCTAATAGATCAGTTTACACCAGCAGCAAAGTGTACTTGCTTTACAGTGATAAAATGTTGATTTGGAGCTGCCATCTTTGTTGTTACATTATTTTCAATCCCAGCTGACAAGTTGGCTTATTTTAAAGACAACTTGACTGATGTAACATTACCAACGTAATCACTCACAGCTCTTAGATAGCTCGTAAAAATTCTGTTTGGACTTCAACATGCAATCTCTTGCTTTATGGGTGCCAATATCTTAACTGCCTCACCGCCAAGCTCAGAAGGGATGGCTGGCCAGTTTTAATGAAGTACACTTGTAGTTTCCTCTCTTGAAAGCTTTGTAATTTGTTCTTGCAGTTCAGCCAATGCCGAGGGGTGATCACGTGCTCAACTTCTCAGATGCTGAAGATATGCTGGACGATACCCAACTCCAGTAAGTTCTTGGAACTTTCCAGAATACTGAAAGGGTCTATGCAAAGCCATTTGTTTCCCACAGCTGTTGAAAATGCACCTTTGTCATTTAATGAACATTATAATCAATCTTCATTTTTGCTATTTTAAAAGGTTTTGGTGCCAGCTTGGTATTTATGCTAATTCGAATTTCCATATTCATAAGTAAAACTGTGATGTCATCCCAATGAGAAAACCTCAATACTGCATTGATTTATATCCCCCCCCCAAAAAAAGCTGCTGGATATGATGATAATTTGCTCTCCTAAATTTCTTTCTCCTTAATGAGTGGGGGGGGCTTTGTTCAGGTATTTTTCATTGGCATTTAGAGAAGCAGACATTTCCAAGTGCAAAATAGAGTTTTGAGCTTTCAAATTGAAAAAAAAAAGAGTTGTTTGGTGGAAAGACCTAGACTTTTGAGGTAACTACTCAGCAGTGTACAGCACAGACCAGTATGGTTCCTAAACCATTTCCCTACTTGTGTTTTTTGTGTATAGGGATCAGAGAGATGACATTCTTGAACATGGTAAGAATTACTTCCACAGGGTTCCTTTTCATGCTCTTTGGGTTAATAGCAAGGGGCTAATTCATCTAGAACGTATGCCATTAACAAATGCCCCTGTATACACAAACACACCTCCCCTTAAGGCATCGGAAAGGAAACTACAGAAACAAATAATATGCATTACAGGATGATTAGGCAAGTGAGGTGTTTCCTCGGCATGTTTTTCGTATCCTGGGTAAATCTTTACATTTAGCCAGGCAGTTTACAATAGACCTTATTCACAAGAAGCCATTTTAAAAATCTTGTTCCCTTATTCTATCACATTCAGTGTAATTTGTTAAATGGGGCAGTGCCAGACTATTTTGGGTTCCATGCTTCACTTTCATTTTTTTTTAAATGTTGCTTAAAACAGTGAGACATGGTAAATCACATATTCCTAATCATCCACCGTCGTAAATGAAATGAATCTGGGTTTTTTGCTTTAATTTTTATTCTTAGGTTCCCAAAATAAGAAAGTCAACCTCACTTTTCATTCAGTGTGGCTGACTTGTGAGGGGAGTGAAGCCAATTGGGAAATAATGTGCTTGATTACAAAAAAAGGTCCCAAGATGAAATCTTGAAAAAACCCACAGTGTCCAAAAGTTCTTCACAACTAGCATTGTTCCATGCTCAGCTAGGTTTGGTGTCCAATACAAGCTCCAAAAATTTGCCTCAAAAGAAAATGTATAAGATTAACCATTACTTTCCTTCTCTGGCCTTGTTCTGTGGTCCCATATGGGTCATTTGGCGATTGCCCAAGGCAACTCAAAATACCTGAGGCCCCTCAAAATGCTCAAGGCACATCTAAATGCCAAGGCACCTCAAATAAGCTTTTTGCGAGTTAAATTTGAATAAAATCTGGTACACCGAGTTCTTTATTCTCCATACTAAAACCACTGTTGCTATACCTCATGATTTGGGGCAAGCTTTTGCTTAGTTACATAAGAGATGCCTTGCAACAATACACTGTCCGTAATGGATAAGAAAGGCACAAAGGAACCAGTCCATTCCAGAGATGGTGGTCGCTATGTAAAAGCTTGCCCCGAATCACAAGGTATAGCAACAGTGTCTTTAGTCTGGGGAATTCAAATTGTTATGCATATGTGCAATCAGATAACTCAGTGTACCAGATTTTATTCAAATTTAACTCACAAATGGCTTATTGCCCAAGGCACCTCAAAATGCCTTCAGCTTGACTGCATTGCAGCAGTGTCCTTGGCAATTCAGATTTGAGTAACGATGATAAGCCCCCGAAAAAAAAAAATTTAAATAAAAATCATAGAAATAGGTTAACTAGGAAAATGATTGCTGAGCAAAGTGATGTGTTGTACACGTGTGCTGCTGTTTCAAATATTCATAGATCTATGTAGTGGGCAGATAGTACCTCAGAAAGATGAGGTGATGGTGGAACAGGATTTACATTGTACTTTCTTATTCATTGTAGTTCCTAAATGAGGCATATCTGAATTATAAGCCTAACTTATGACAGGATGGCAGTGGGCTGATACATTGGGCTATTTATCGGTCTCCTTTTTCAGAGTTGTCGGTGTTTGATCGGAGGCAGAAGCGGGAAATCCGAAACCTGGAGAATGAGATTGTCAAGTGGCAGTACCTGGTGGATAGTGTCACGGGTAGGGTTTGTGTTTGAGTCTGTGAGCACAGCCACATTCATGTCACTGTGTCCTAAAGTCTCGGCTGCGGCTGGCAGCAGTGCAGGCATCCATGACAAGTGACAGCTGCTAGTCACCAGCTCCCATAGGCAAACATGCACATGTCAGCCGCAGTCACAACTTTCAGACACAGTCGTAGGCTGTATCCAAATCAGTTGTTCTAGAACTAGGTCTACATGTACGTCTTCACTCCGTTGACAATATGCATGGTCGCTCTGACAGCAGGCATAGCCGTAGGTCTGGAAACCAGTTCGGACAAAGCCATAGAATCATTGGCACTTTGAGAAGTTTTCAAAATGGTACTTTCGTCAGTTATGAATAACTTGGAAATTTTGATCTTTTTTTTTTTAGGGGGCGTGCGTATGGCGTATCTTTAATCTCCCAGTGTATTTGCTCACCTGTAGTATGTTTGGTTTTGCCCCATGTTCTCTTGCAGGAATGACATCACCAGCATTTGATAATCAGACATTAGCCGTGCTCAGGGGTCGTCTGGTCAGATATCTCATGAGGTCAAATGAGGTCAGTGACTCCAGTGGAACACATGTCTTGATTGAGACCAGATCCCCACAAAATTAGTCTCTAAGCCATTCAGTAATTTTGCCTAAGTTTCCAGTCTAAAAGGAAGAGCAAACTGAGCTTAATGTTTTGATGTTTAACTCAGTTTTGCATCTTGATTAAAATTAGGGCTGAGTCAATTCAAATTATTCACTATGCAAATATTTGACCTTCAATTTGATCGAATATCTGAATATTCAGTCATACCGACCGGTAGCTTGTTGAGGAACAAACCATATACAAAATCAGTTGCAATAACGCACACAATTATACATTATGATCAATATAAAAGCTTTTTACATCTAGGAGTGTTTTTTCAATTGTTGTAAGATTTCTGACGCTTTTCATTTGAATCTGCTTGAAACAAGCCTCCACAGTGCAATTTTTCTCATTAAAAACAAAAGAAAATATTCCCTTTTCATAAATTTTGCATTTGAATATTCAACTTTGAAAAATAATATTCAAATATTCAGTTATTCGGATATTCGGCACAGCCCTAATTAAAATCAGAACTGTTTGTTTTCCTGTTGATTTAATATCCTGCATGTTTGTTTTAAAGGCCATTAACTCAAAAGTGGCTGTGGTGACTGGCAACTCATTTTATTAGGTTGGAGCACAGTTTGATTATGTATTTATGTACTGCATGTGTCCTGGTTCCCAATACCATTTCTAACACTTTTTCGAAGGATGTTGCAAAACGGTCTTGATTAGCTCTTGGGACAAGACCCCATATTTTTTTTCATTCAAAAACTGCAATTTCAATTGCATAGAGGCTTAAATTTTTCTGAAGCCAACCTGTTGTTTGAAATGTCATTTACCCGCATAAAATATTTATTTTGAGATTTAGACTTAAAAAAAAAAAATCAATAGGGTTTGTGTACGTAATACAGAAGTTAAATATAAATACTGTCAGTAGAAGACTTATGTAAACAAATAAAGCGAGCCAGTTTTATCAAGTTCAAATTCTGTTCTTTGGTCATTTTTACCGTGCACAACACTCTGTTGACAGATCACCATCGGCCGTTCCACGTCAGACTCCACAGTGGATGTGGACCTGTCATTGGAAGGGCCAGCCTGGAAGGTGTCGCGGCGCCAGGGCCTGATCAAGCTCCGGAACAACGGGGAGTTCTACGTGGCCAACGAGGGCAAGCGGGCTATCCACGTGGACGGCAAGGCCATCATCAAAGGGATGAAGAGCAAGCTCAACAACAACTCGGTGGTGGAGGTGAGGGATGTGGGCGTCGCCGGGCCTTTTGTCGAGGGTGGGAGGGAAGGACTCAGCGGCAAACTGGAAAAAACATGAACGGTGGAATGGGTCAATTCTGAGGGTTTTTCAGATTTGTTATTTTTATCCCCTTTTTCCTCATTTTCATTTCTTTGTCTTTTCCTCTTTACCCTCATTTATCTGTGTCACTTTTTTCGGGGGGGGGGAGGAATTGGAAGCGCAACCGTTGCCCCGCTTCTTTGTGACACCAATGGGCGAGTGGCCTGTTTGTGACTTTTGTTCCCCCAAAGTTGGATCAAGAGCTTGATAGAGTTCAGCACCCCTTCCCAAAAGACATTGTATTGTTTGAAACTGCAAGTGAATCCATTGAGTGCCCCCCTTCCAAACCTGAGGTCCCAAGTGCAATTTTGACCCTAGTTGAGCCAATGATCCCTGAAGCATATTTTCTCTTTCTTTGATAATAACTGTTCCCATGATATACACTGCCATAGCGTTTTTGTTCCATAGAAATAGTGTGGACTTAAAAGAATTGTATATTGCCGTTGTTTCTTTCAAACTGTACTTGACTGTTTCCTTGTTTATATGTGTACAGTACACTTTCTCGGCACGCTGTATATCTAATCAGTGCACTGTTAGGCTAAGAGTTTGACTAAGATAACAGATTTCCTTTTTTTTCCTGATCATTATCATCATAATCTCTACAACTTGCTTGTCAACTTGAGTGAATTTAACTTCCACAGAAAACACTGAAGGAAATCCAAACTCAAATTTGAGGTTTTTCGCCTGCAACACCAAAGACATTTTGCCTTGTTCCTGATTTTGTCTTCCGGTTTCCTTCTAATCATTTAAAATTTATTTCTTTTTTATCACAGATTGCTGGTCTGCGATTCATCTTCCTGATCAACCAGGAGCTGATCAACGCCTTCAAAAATGAATCCATCAAAGGAAGTGCCTGATCCCGCTTTCTCTTCCCATGCCGATTTGATTAGAGTCATTGACTATTGTGTCCGCTTCCAGGGAAGCCACTCTAGCCTACCAGCAAGTTGTTGGGGTGGAATTTTAAGAGGGAAAAATGAGGCAGAAATGTCACTTGTTTTGGTGGTAACGTGCAACATCTTATGTTTGAAATGACTGTCGTGAGAAAAAAATATTGCAACATCAGCATGTGCAGTTGGTCAGTTTATGAAGATGGCGACACTATGGGCAGCCAGTTCGGAGGATATTTTCAGACCCTTCATTTTTTTTTGGAAGACTCCAAGCTCTAGGTTTTTCCAGAACTTGCAACTTTGAAATTTGATTGGAATTTTTCTGACAACACATTTTTATCACGTTTTTTCCAGTGGCCTTTTCGTAGTCTGCGGCTGTCCACTGAAGGTCTAAAATGTTCAAAAAAGCAAAATGAATGTGACAGTTTTATGGAAATGACAGCATTTTTTTCTTGGGAGGACAGTGTCTGGTTTTCTAACACCAGTTCCCGGGTACACCAGAGAACTGATATTGCTTACACCTTCCCTGTCCTTTGAGTTTTGTGTACATTTGTATTGTAGACATGCATATGTGTTCCACTGCTCCTGTTCTTGTAGAGACAGAATTAAACGTAAAGCAAGCTGTTTGCCAGGAATGATACTTGGTTTGTTTGATTTATTTGCAGCTTTTTAATGGATGTTTTGTCTCCCTTATGTGCGAGGGTAGGCAGTTTAAGACAAGTGATATTAGATGTCTTTTAAGATCATTGAAAAGTCAATGGAAGGTGGAGCGCATTATTGTAGGGCCTATGTACCAGTATATTGTACCTGCATTATAATGGAGTGTGTCGCTTGCACACTCAACGTCTGTAAAACGTTCGAACTGGCATAATTATTGTTTTCACGGGTCGATGGTTAATAAGTCCCGAGATTATGCCAGTGCTATGCCTCTTTCGACGAGTGTGCACGTACAGTGCACGGTTCTTGTACACGTGTACTTGTTTATGGCGCGTGCGAAACTGGGAAGCACTCCCAAATATGTAGAGTTGATTTCAGTCACCACCAAGTACAGTGACCAAAAGATCAACGGCCGTACGTTCGACTCCACCAAACCAAACGTAACCGTGAAAGGGAAGATCGAACGTGTAATCCCCGTGTAGAATTTCCACAGGGATCAGTTAGCTTCACATCATAGAGATAGGGAACTAAGTTTGAAGTTGACCGTATTTGTAAATCAAAAGGAGACGACTTGATACACCTCTACCGTCATAAAGGCTTTTTTAGTGACACGGCAACTTTGGCTATTGTATCCAATGGCCCGTCACATTGTTGTTGTTCGACCCTTCCAGGTGACAATTTATCTAATCAATTGATTGATCAAATCATGTAATATACGTCGGCAGCAAGTAGTTAACACCGGCAATCGTAAACACTTCTTAAATAGATAATTTTAACATCATTCTAAACGTGTTCAGCTGGAACATCGCGCCGGGTGCATGAAGTAGAGATAATGAAGTACGCGGTGGTGTTGTGTGCGGTGGTTGTGGTGTTGGCTCGAGTTTGGAGCGGTGTCGGACAAAACCCCATACCCCACCGACCGCCGAGGGGATTCGTCTATCCACTCGGCAATAACTGCAATGCCCCCGTCGAAGTTACCGTGTTTGTCGACCTGATATGCCCGGAGAGCAAGCAAGCCTGGCCCGCATTTAAGAAGGTGAGTTTACTGTGATCACCCTCAGAAGCAAGCCCGCGAGTTCAGCTGATATTTAATTCATGTCAAATTGCTGATGCTTGATTGAATGTCTGTTTTTCCTCTAGCATCTAAGCGGCTACCGGGGGGGGGGGTCTGTGCCGCCCTGGGTGTACCGTAATATGAATGTCATTACTTACTCAATGGAGACCACGGCTCCAAAACAACATTACCTGCAAGCAAGCGTCTGCTTTACTGATGAGTTCATGCACCGTATGGACTTTTGTAGTGAACACAGCAGGCCACGTTCTCACAAGCCGAACACAGCAGGCCACGTTCTCACAAGCCGAACACAGCAGGCCACGTTCTCACAAGCCGAACACAGCAGGCCACGTTCTCACAAGCCGCATGTCATCTGCCCCCTCCCCCCCAAAAAAAAGTTTACTTCAGTTACCCCACAGTGACTGGTCCCGGGCTGAAAGGGGAGGGGTTTGGTTGGAAGGGGTTGTTGCCACAACAGGCTCACTTAGGCCTAGTCTTGTTTCGTGGTTGATCACCCACTCGCAAGAGGGTCTGATGAGATGTACTCAACATTGGCAATAAACTGGCTACCGTCACCACCAGTTACACATTGCCATTGAATCTCCCGCCAGAAGCCAGAACTTTAAAAATGTAAGCTTTTCTAGCTTCAGCTTTCGTGTATAATTTAGGAAGATATTGTTAAAGTAGTCCTCTTGCCCGTTGGTAAATTTTCCCCAATTAAAAGTTTTCTTGTGAAAGTATTGGGTATGACGTTATTAAATACTCATGCAAAACTACGCAATCTTGATTCTTTTTCACCTCAGGTTGCCGATTATTACAACAGCGGTTCCGCGGTACAGGTTTCCTTAGAAACAATTACCTTCCCTCTGCCATATCATCGTGCATCATTTCCGGCCGCTCAGGTAAATGTACAATGATGGCCGTTTAATGAATATTTATTAATTTACACATGCCGATGTCTGCAGTGCGCCTGCTTGGTGGTTGCTTTGTGTCGCAAACTGCCACCACCACTATTTTGTTTGTTACTGCCAGCAGTGGGCTAATTTTGGTAAATAAATGATGTTTACAAAGCACAGCGACGAAAGTACTGACCAATAATATTGACACGATCGTCTTTCCCTAGGCATCATACATTCTTCGGTTTTTGAAAGGAGCGGCGTCCTACATGTGGTTCGACTACATCTTCGAACATCAGAGCAAATACTACAATGACGCCATTTTGAACACCAAGCAGTCGGAAATCCACACGTTAGTTTATGATGACGAGTTTTCTGCTTTGAATTGTAACTAAATTAAAGCCAACTTCAGTTTATTGAAACAGATTTCATAGAAACAAATTAGAGGATCGACTTAGTTCAGAATTCATTCACTTTTGTAGATTGCTCGAATCATTAAGTCACTATCATGAAATGATCTGAGTCCGATTTCAGACGCAACATAAAGCTCCTCTCGATTTGAGTAGCAGGGGCGTATAACTACGGGGCTGAGGACAGATTGGCATGGGAAATTCCCTTCCCCAAGATGGCCCTGAAACCGAATTATCAGACGGAAAAGTTAAGGAAATTCATTTTTACATTTTTTATGTCCTTTCTTCGGGGTACGCCTAAATTTGGGGGCTTTTAACACGCATTGATGAGAAGGAAGTCAAAGGAAACATTTGCAATAGTTGTTCCTTTTCTCGTCCTATTATCCCTGGGGTGGCCGGCGGAGGCACCTCGATCATTCCGCAAATGTAACCGCAATCAGAGTAGTTAAACCCCATTAACGCCACTGTCTCATGCTTGAGTGGTTTTACATGAGACAAACCTACCCGACACCAAGGCGTGAATACGAGTCTAGCCACGATCAATCGATTATCCTGTAACCGCTGAACCGTTTCACCACTCATGGTACATGTAATCAATCAAAGCTTTGTGCCTCCCCGCACAGAATGTTGGCCAAAGACATCGCCGCTTCCACTGGTGTTGCCATGAGCGATATCCTGACTCACTTTGAGGATTTGGATTCGTCCAGGGAGGAAGAGATAGTCATGTGGAAATACGCCTGCTCCAGTAAGCCTTCTAATTTTTTGCTGGACTACATGGTATTGTAATCTTCTCAGTCTTTGGAAACCAGACTTGAAAGGGGGATATTAAGTTCCTCAAACTAGAGATCTTCAGAGAATTCGTCCATGCTGTATCGAACCTAACTTACTGATGAAATATGTATGGTACCCAACCGCCTGCTGGGATTTATTGTCACATGTGGGGGGGGGGGGTGATTTCATATTCATCCATCAAGCTCAGTACGGCCCCCATCCCAGGTGAGATCGTCAGGGTGCTGGCAAGTGCGGAGTCGGTGGTGTAGGCTATGAGTGCGCAAAAAGTGTTTGACTTGAAAAATGTGTGGGGGGATGATTACATTGTTAATCCCCCATCAAAAAAGAGGGCGGGGACGGTATATCCCTCCCCCGGATTTCCACCCATGCCCAATTGTTTGTAATAATTTACTCAAAACCAAAGCAAAATATACAAACTAATCAGGCCCTTGACCTTACACGATGTACACATTTGTTGGCGGGTGGGGGTACGTAGTTGGAAGAGACCACTTGAGGTAAAAGGGGGAGCAACGAAGCTCATGTTAAACAAACCAAATTTCAAGACGGTTTCAGGTAAACACTCGATAAACCTTTTGCATTTCGATGATTTTGTTGACTGCATCTGTAATCAACCCCTGTCTTTATACTCTGTATCCAAGGAACAGTTTCCGGCACACCCTTTGTTTTCATCAATGGCGTCAGGGTAGACTTTTGGACATCGTGGACCCTGGACGATTGGAGACGAGTCATCGACCCACTGCTCGAACCCGAAATATAGGCATGAGGTCGTCGTGCGCGAGCAGTTCAAGGCTAATTTTACGATGGTCAAGAAAACGCATCTTTCACGAAATCACCAGCCATATAAGATAACACGGCATCTAATGATTATAGGACACGTAGACACCATGACTGTAATCACAGTACACTTTTTTATAATAAGACAAATCGTGGCTGAACAGTACTGTTTGAGTTCTAATTGTTACATAAATGTGTCCGTTGTGTTCAGTCGGTGTCATAATACCGCGACTGCCATCTTGGATTTTACCCCACTTTTGCTCAGGCGTGCATAAGTCAAGAATACTGTGTGAGAATTACTCAAGAGCTGTGTTTTCAATTCACCCTTTGCGTCTGGAAATCGAAATTGGCAAGGTAAAATCTACCATGTTCCTAAATACGAATAAAACATCTCATTGAGTTCGAAACGTGCAAGTTCATTTCTTTCAAGTTTGAAATGTGATTTCAATCCCTATGTATCCGCCACCAACGTGCCGCTGACCGTGCGGCGTAGGGAGCTCTGACTTTCGGACCTTCGGAAAGTTTGAGAGGCATTCATTGTTAAGGGGCCCGTGATGCGCAAGTTACGTGTGCGGTTTACAAGATAGAAACGGGCCAAAAATTACACTCAGATAAACTTCACTGAGCTCATGTCTAGTACGTATACCTCACAAGTTACATCTTTTGCAGAACCAGCACCAAAGTCCTCCTTTTTTGCCCATGGATATTATCTTGTTTAATTCCGATTGTTCGAAACACGGCAAGTCATTCATGAAATAAACTTTTACTTGGTAGGCCTAGGCAAATTCCAACATTTTTCCGTTTTTTGATACTTAAACGGTTATAGGTTTCCATGCTTCACATGGCGTGTATACGCAGGCGATCACTACCCACCTTATTGGTACATAAACACGGCCAGTAACCAGGGTTTTGGAGCAGTTTTCCGAACCACACCCTAAAATCACACAATAATTTGCCAACGCATATCGATTTTCACGAAGGTAGTCTAATATTTGTTCATTGCATACAGGGGGCTAGCAAGGGTTACATGCAGTTACATTATTTGGACTATTTTCCAAATCGCGGCCACGTTCCGGTTGAGGCTGCAGACATTATGCTACTGTATTGGCCAACAATGATAAATACCCCAACTGGCCTGCTCCCTTCAATTTTATTGCGGTTTCCAGTATCATCTTCAAAATTATGTCAGTTGAATAAAAATGCTTCCACCTCTTTCCTCTCATTACGCAATCTAATACAGATATAAATAGCGGATTAATTCACGCGCCTCGCGGACTCCCGTGTCACGGTACCAGGTAATGCACCTGAACACCCAAGGCCCCTGTACTTGGTTAATCTCGAGCTACACGGCCCAGACCGAATCTGATGACGAAGCCTACATTTGCTGGTTCGGGGCTGTGATCATTAACTTGTCCCGAAAGTTTTATCAAGGGTAAAACTCCCAAGATTTACCTCCATACTTCTGTTTTGACCAGGGCATTGATGGCCCAACATCCTCCACTTTCTGAGGGTGACAAACAAAACATCACATGTATGGGCATGCTTAACCCTCATAGATGTTTTGTGGGGCAGGGGGATTCGGTACGTTATTCGATTAACACATCCTTTGCAAATGCTGTTCTTCCTTTGGTCTACGCATGTTTCCACGACACGTGATCATATCAAAATCCTTTATGTGGCAGAAAATGTTTCATCACACCCAGGATGTGTTGACGCTTTATGGTTGTTCAGTTCAACGAGTGCTTAAGGGGCATATAAAATTTAGTCTAATTTTCAACCTCAAACCAAACCTCGTGCTTCGGAGGCAGCCTGTGTTGGCCTGTGCGCCCAATGTATCTGTAAGTGCACTGATCCAGGTCCCAGACTAATGCTTTTTGAACATGATCAGAATTCTGATTTGTGGACAGAACAAGACGAGTTATCCAGTAGGGCCTATGCTCCAGGCAGGCAATATCACAGTTTCAAGTTCAGTGACACTTAACACTCAACCCGTGACTCCAGAGTTTGGTGAAAGAGGGAACCGTTGGGCCATCCTTATGATACTTATCTTATCACCTGATGTTTGATCAAGTCTTGTGATCAGGTGCGCTTGTAGCAACAGTTGTAGGTCTGCTAGCATACCTCTGCGCCAAACGTTTATATCCTCACAGCAAACAAGTCAGGCAAACCATGAAGTACGCGGTGGTGGTGCTGTTAGCGGCAGTGGTGGTGTTGGGTCGAGTTGGGAGCAGTGTCGGGCAAAACCCCATACCCCACCGACCGCCGAGGGGATTCGTCTACCCGTACAGCAATAATTGCAACGCACCGGTGGAATTCAAGGCGTTCATCGACCTGAGTTGCCCGGACTGTAAGCAAGCGTGGCCTACATTTCAGAAGGTAAGTTTATTCATTTACCATGTACTCATAGGCATCTGAGTACCGGAAAAACTTCTTCATACGGTATTTTGACTTTTGACACTTTGACAAAGAGACAACTTCAATTGGATGGCCCGATGAACCACCGGCAATCCAAACTAGAGTTCCAAGATTTTGCCTTTATCCAGGTAGCTGAACTTTCAACAACAACAACGATACTCGCCGCATTTATATATTCTCCCTCTCCTCAAAAACATGTCCCCTCCAACCCAGGTAGTGGTATTCCTCCAGTTAAAAGGGCCACCCAATACAAGGACTTTCTCTGCAGTCATTCGAGGTCCGTGCCCCTGGTCTCCCCACCCCCATGGAAATTTTGAAATGTGCACAACCAACATGTACGTGTAAGCCGCACTATGGTTCAGTGGCTTTCGATACATCCTTGACAAAATGTGTGCATCCCCAGCACACTAGTAGAAATTTACCATGTAGTTACCCACCAGCAGGCCTATGTGTAGTCTCCAAATCTCCCGACACAAAGTCTTTCATTGGCCACCTGAGGCAAGGGTTACAAGAAAAGAAGAAAAGGGATGTAAATTTATTGCTCATTTCCCACTCAGAAGATTTTGAACCAGAAGTTATAGACATCCGTAAACACAGTATCTACCGGCATTCAGAGAAGTTCAATTAAACGTTTCGATCCTTGCATTTATCAAAATCTCTGAGACAGACTGTTTACAGTGTGATCAAAAATTTATCAATATCATTCTGATGGGCGGACATGCATTTAAGTTTCGGTTCAATTTAACAGGTCGCTGCATTCTACAGCAACGCGTCGATCTCAGTGCTATCCTTCGAAGCAATCCTCTTTCCTCTGCCATTTCACCGTGCAGCATTCCCAGCTGCTCAGGTAACTTTATGTAAAGAAAAATTGACGCAAATAGCGGAGTTGATTTGGTTTTTTGCCCTGTGTTCCCATTTGGTTTGTTGCAGAAGTGGTGTAGTTATGTCCGATTTTGGTTTTGAATATAAATGCATTTAAAAAATGTGGCCGGTTGGTTGGTCCATTGATTTGCTATAGTTAGTTATTTTGTTCCTACTTAGAGTTCATCACACATTCGGTTTTGTAACAAATAAAACTTAAATCTTAAAAATTACACTGACAGGTGGCTTTTTGTTGTGTGAACAAGGTTAATTATTTTGTTATGGGATGAAGAACCTGTTTGACCCACATTACATGCTCAGATGACTTTGTATTTCGGCAGGCATCATACATTCTTCGGCTTTTGAGAGAAGCAGCAGCCTACCCGTGGTTCGACTACATCTTCGAACACCAGAGCAAGTACTACAATGGCGCCACCTTGAATCTCACCCAGTCGGAAATCGATGTGTTAGTTTCTGTTTGAGATTTCTCCTTTTAATTTGTACCATTCAAAGTCATTTTAACCTTATGAATTTTTGGAATGTGACCAAAACCGCTGTGTTCTATAAAACGGCACTTGTAGATAAATGATAGTGACGATGGTTGTGGTTGTGGTGATAGTAGAAGATTAATGGCACTTATGGCAGACTAGTACCCTGCGTGCCACAAGCGGTATCGTCTGCGTCACTCATTGGTTGTTTGGGTAATCATCTCACATTCTGTACAAATGCACAAAGGAGAGAGAAAAGATATGCAAGAGAAATGTATCGGGTAGATAAAGGAGTCTGCATAAATGAGTGTCGGAGGTCGGCCAAGCTGGCTGGTGGGGAAATAGACCCAGTGGATAGGTTAAAACGTTCAAAGGAAGAGTATTTAATCGTCTAGGCCTACCCAAAATTTTAGCATTAAAGCTGTTTTATTTCGGGGTAAGTTACAATCGCTTGACGCGTGCCACCGACGCTAGTAAGCCCTGCTCATTCACGTGGTACATGTATCACACAATACGAAAATAATGCTAGCGGCAAGTTCCTGCAGTGGAATTTTACAAGAAAGACCTTTTTCATTAACCGTGGTCGGTTGTCGAATAGGATGAATTTGGACATAGCCTCAGCCTCAAGTACTCGACTTAGTCGTAACATCTCAAACGTGTTCTACCTGCAACACAGCGGCGTAGCGACGGGAGGGGGGAGGCGGGGGCACGTCCCCCCCCAAATTCCCAGTCCCCCCCTCCCCCCACGAAAAAAAAAGGATGAATGGATATTGAACAAAGCTAACAAAAACTTGCCCACAAAAACCACACCAATTAGAGTTGGTGCCCTCATACGATGCTGGTGCCCTTTAGTGTCCCCCACTAGTAAAATCCCAGCTACGCCACTGCTGCAACACTTGAATAAAGTCTTTCACTTCTTTAGGATGTTGGCCAAGGACATCTCCTCAGCTACTGGCATTTCCATGTCCGATATCCTGACTCACTTCAAGGATTCAGATCCGTCCAGGGAGGAGGAGATAGTCATGTGGAAATACGCCTGCTCTAGTAAGCTCCGGAATTCATTTTTTTTTAACTGTGCCCTTTTGTGGTAAGAAATGCTTTGGGATAAAGTTCAGAGAACTCCCACTAAGTATCAACCACGTCCGGTTCATCTTGCGCGATCCCAGGATAGGTTGCTAGGCTCAATTGACCGTTGGTTGACAAAAATTTAGCCGTTCATAAAACATTCTCCAGACTTTCGGACACTGTCAGGGAAGATCGCATCTCTTTGGCTTTACTTTTTGAAATGCAGTATATCAATTATTGGCGAATGTGCTGCCAAGAATGCTAAGCAATGCAAGGACATTTTAAATAGTGTATATATTCATAATTAATGCCTGCTTGCTAAGTTTCCAAAATATTGGACCTTGGAGAGCCAAGATCTTGGGGCGAATTCTTCATGCTGGTCGGCTGTGAGATGGTCAAGAAAAACCCATCTCTTTTTGATTAATTCCCAAATTTTAATCGTAAACGTAAACAGATGTATTGGTATAATAAGCAGAATATAAGATCTGCCAACGATTGTATTGTGTCTCGTCCATACACCTATACATAAAAAGCTCTATGGTCTCGTCCCATCCCTGGATTATTGTGGCCCTTGCCTTGACGCATATTACTTGTCATGTGTTCCGGATGGCTGCTGGGGGGGGGGAAGAGAACACTACACAGGGGGAACATAATGAACGGGATGGGTGGGGTGTTTCTCTTCCAAGTTCCCATATCTTCAACCTGACCGCAACGTTCTCCGACCAACAGATGAGACCTGCTCATCATATGTGGCATTCTGTTTGCCGTCTCTCACAACCGCCTAGGCTTACCTTCGTCCCTTGTTGCAATCTTGTCCCCTCTCATGGCCAGTTATGTGTACTGTCATCAACAATGTTCTTCTTTCCTGTGAGTGATGCACAATCAGTACTTAGTATGATTTTTTTTGTCATCACCATCACTAATTACATGTAAATCCTTGTTGTACAAAGTGACGGTTTCTGGCACGCCCACCGTTTTCGTCAATGGTGTGCGAGTGGACTTTTCGCTGACGTGGACCTTGGATGATTGGCGGAAAGTGATTGACCCGTTGCTTGAACCCGAGGTAGGAATGTGAGATATTCATGACGACGCTTGCAAAAGTTCGGATTCGAGTTGTCCAGCGAAATCCACGCAGTTTACGCTGGTACAGCAACTGTGGGATGGTGCACATGCCCCTTTATCTCTCGATTAGATATTCTTACGTGTGATCAATACTGGGCTGATCGACACGTCTGCAAAAAATGGAAGTGGTCTTTTAAACCCAACACGCATTCATAGTTTTTTTAGGGGGGGAGCACATCTTTTCTAGGGGAATGTCTAAAGGGGAGGGCTGATTAGGCAACTACTGTGCAAGGGGTCAGCTGCATGTATTTTCAAGCTTGCAAGTTTTGATTTTCATCCAATTCGTTTCTTTTTCAACATTTTTTGCCTATTCCCACTTATTTTTATTTTTTCAAATTTTTCCAGGGAAGGGAAAGGGTCCCCTCCCCCTTGTGACGCCCATGTTACAACAGAATAGTCAACATAGATGAAAGAAAACCAACAACCTTATGGGCAGTCACACAACTGCACGCTACACTCCATAAAAACTGCCTTTGGGCATTAACTGTGATTTCACACTATCTCAGATTGTCTTTGTTCCAGTGTGTGCAGTGAAGTCGCAGTAATTATTATTACCCGCCTATCCAATCACAGGACGTGTACTATATGCGAAAGACCTGCCCGGCAGGACAGAAGTTGTGCAAATATCTACCTGGTAAGACGGAGTGTTGCTTGAAAGGAGAGTTCTGCATTCCCAACGTTGGTTGCCGATGCTAGAAAGCCATTGCGACGGGTGACGAGTACCAACTCGGGCGACGGTAATCAAATCAAAATTTAAACTACATGTGCACAAATACAGAGCTGATAACCAGTTCCTATAGCTGACTTGAAACACTACAGGCAATGTTTATAGTAGATCTGTTTAAAACTGTTGTGGCAAACAACTTTGAAAAAACGTAAAATATCTAACACCCAATCATAAAGGCAGTTAACTTTGTGATTAAGGTTTCAGAAGCAATCAGGTTTCGTTAATAAAGCAACAGAGAGTAGTATTGTCTCATCGTAAAGGCTACCACTGTCTCTCCTGTGACCGACAGGACGAGGAATTTGGAACAGTTTGTGAAACGATTATATTGATGAGAAGCAATATAATGGGCATTTCATTAACTTTACATGATGTATACATTGAGTTTCGAAATGATCATTTTTATGTTTCCTTGCTCGCTCTTTCAAATAAATTTCATTTTATTTAAATTTCACCTAAAATTGTCAAAAATGTGACCTTAGTAAAATGTGCTGGTTATGATATTGTGTTAGATTTTCTTAATCTTTCAATGTTCGTACTGAACAATTCTTCTAAAACAGTTAAGAGGACAAAGAGGATCTGTATTTTTATGAGCCTGTTCCAAACGGATCAGGATCGCGATCAGTGCTCCCAGACCCGGTTCGTGCTAACCATTAGGCGGGTTTTGGTGTCACTTAACTAACGACAGATCACTGATCGCGATCCGGATCCGCGTGAAACAAACAGGCCCCATGCTTTAGCCTCTTTATTCCGATGTATGGTACACTGAGTGCGATAGTTACGAATCATTGGCGTTTCTGGATCAATCCAGCAACTACAGCTAAAAATTCCATCAAGTTTGACCAGTGGTCTCTTTTCGATTTTCAATGCAATTTCATTGCGTATCACTTCGCAATATAGTCAGAAAAATCTGACCGCTGATAACAAGAGACGTAACGAGGCAAAGTTTTTGTTCCTCACGCAATCAGTCGACTGCTATTATTTTTGTTGACTGCACTGATGAGTTTGCTAGTTAGGAATAATCTCAAATATCGGGGGGGGCAGAAGTGTTTCGGCAGTTGAATGAGTTGAATTGCGGTATTGGCTGAAAGATTTAATGATTGGCATAATACATCAATACATCAATATTAATGCATACCTTTTGAGTCCAGACTGAAACATGCATACACTATTTTCCATGGTGCTATGCACACAACGGGATTGATAAAAAGGTGCCATGAAGTTCATGAATATACAATAAATTCTGTCAGATGGAGTATTCCATTCCAGATGGTTACAGACTGAATTGAACAGGCAGTCTGTAAAGATATTATTCCCACCATTGCCCTATCATCAACTTCCGCTGTTTGTACACATAATCAGCGACGAGTTGTACCATCAGCACCAAGACTATAGGCTACACGGACGCCGAGCGTTTGGATTGCTTCACGGTGAGCACCCGGGCCGATACTACATCTTTCTGGGGCTCCGGAATGAGTGAAAATTCACTTCCTCCGACTCGAACCACAAAGGGACGAGAAGAATTCGAGTGAAACTCAATCACTCAAATAGATCAAGATTTCACTTGAATTTATGCTTGAGTTTTTTTTACATTTCAATCTAATGGAGTGAATTCCGCATGTGGTCTGTATAGATTTCATTCAGTGGAAACAGAGAATGGGAAAGCTGTGATGGTCTGAAATGCTCTTCAAAATTAGGACCTATTCTCCCGCTTCGCTGTCATTGTACGAGTCCTCAACAAACTGTGCGGTTGCTAAGCTTATTACCTGCCCCCTGTCGGATATACCCATATAAATATCTATTGTGGGAGTTTATTTGCTTTGTTTTGCTCTGCTTTCATTGTTGATTTGTTCCTACATCCCTTAAGATTGGTCACCGTGGGAGCCGCTATCTGAACCGATCAATAACACATAAATAAGTGATCACTTAGGTGACAAGCACCTACATCACCCGTCAACCCTGCAAGGTGGATAAATTAATGATCCGTTGATGGTGGAGGTGGGACAGTGGAAGTATGCGGCGAGATCCAATGAAAGACTGACCCCATTCCAATCGGCGGCAAATACGCCTATTCCGAAGCATACTGCCACGAGAGACCCCTTGATTTGCGGTACTCGCCATGCAATGAATATACTAGTGGGAAATATGAATAATTAACGATAAGATATATACACTTGACATGGAAAGTGTCACCTTTGAACATGTTCGGCCGAGATAAAAACGTTTTTTTGTTTTACCGTCAAATGCCAGGACGTTAACCGCGACCACTCGTCAAAAGATAATGTTTGTGGCTGTATGATTCCCGCAGTTTATAATACGCAGTTTGTTTTCAAATGCATCAATAGACAGTCTTCATATTAGATTCAAAATGATAAAATGACAACCTAGTATTTTCAGAAATTCATATCAGGAATTGGGGATTGTATACCGAGAAGCTGTAACGTTGAGGCTACAGACGAAAGTTGACTGTACGGGAAAAAACGTCGCACATCATAATTAGCGTTGGTACAGCCTGATAATTTGGTGCAATTCTATTGTTAAGGGCGATTATAGTTATATATAAACAATAACCAGCGGGGGAGATATTTATAGCCATCCCTTTTTTTAGAACTGTTTGAAATGACACGCAATTCTTTTCCAAGCGTCAGTACAAAATGTGACGAGAAAACCGTGCCGTGAATACTTAGACATTATAAAAGCCCTGAAGTAGGGGCCTATATCACTTGAGAAACGTTCAAGAAATAATACAGAGACTTTATCCCCATAAGAACTTTGATGACTCCAACGCATCGCCTCAATTTTATTGACTGCATGTTGCTTTTGTCTGTATTTTTAAACAAACCTTTATAATGCAACAAGACCGCTTGATTTCATGATGTTAATTCACCTTAAACAGACAATTAAAACTTGACACACTGAGACTTTATTTAAAATTATTATTACACTTAGGTTTTAACCATTAAAATTCTGTTATAGCCATTCATGCAAACATCTAAGCAGTGTAAACCTCACATCTACAACTGGCATCTCAACGTCAGTGTAGTTTACTCTTATTCTCTGGTGGCGGTTCCGGATCGCGTCATTCCATGCGTAGGGTAGAACAATATAAGTCGTAGCCGTTTCTCCACAGTGTGATTTGACATTCAGAATAAGAAGCCATAACTACGGTGGCACAAAACTTGTGGGCGGGTAGCACGCGCGCGTTACATGCCTCATCGACCAATAGGGTGTCGTGATTTGCCAAATGCATGCGCGCTTGAAGCTGGAGACTGCGTTAGAGTGCAGTGCCAATGTCCCACAGTTATGGCGTCCGAATAGGATTAATCTAGAGTGGCTTTCACCTGCTCCAAACATTAGCGGGAAGGCCTGTTGGTAAGTTCAGTAACAATGAGACGTCCTTCTACAGTGGGTACAAAGGCTATTTCGCGCATGTTTTTTCATGACGAAAGATGGACATTTCACAAGATCAACCTGACTTTGGCCGGCCGGAACCTGTGATACGACTGTACAAATATTTGACCGTCATTTTGAATGGGTGGTCAAAGATTGTAGGACGTCCAACCTTATTTGGTTCTCAGCAACGTTTGCCTCAAAAAGTGCACTTTGCGTCTTCAGTTATGAAATAGGAATCTCTTTGTTTAGTACTTACAGTAACATTTATTATTTAGGGTTTTGATAAATCAGCATTACACATTTCATAAATTGTTGTTTGGGTTTTGTTCTGTCGACCAACCATAGTTTTGTCAACTATACTGTTCAGCAAAAACTACGGTTGTGACCTAGAAAAAAAGGCTCCGACTTAGGCCTTCACCGCCCCAACAGTATATCCAAAGTCAGAGTGTCAAAATGCAAAGGACGGGATGTAGAGATTTATCATGATGCTGCCGTTTTTGTCTTGTTCCCTGTAGACCTATAGGCACTAGTAATACAACTTAGCACATTGATAAAAGGGAACAGACTGTTTTCCCTTCTAGCATCAGTTTGGTTACATTGGTTTGAATGGTAAAAAGCAAGATGGCTGCTCCATGATATAGGTCTAGTGTCCTCAAGCGTTGCTATTGTGAAAGCGTGACATATCAAGGCGTCATACGTACGCTAGTGTACCGCGAGGCCTGCATTTTACATGCCAACCTTTCGTTGCTTGTTCAGTTAAAATAGAAAAGAAAACTGGTCATCAGTCTGAAATGCATGACGAAAAAGTACTTATATATTTTCAGTGTCTCCTTAACCCCATTGGTTCAGAAATATCCTCGGAAAAATGTTTCTAGGAGCGCCCCAAATGTAGGAGTCAACATGGCGGCCAGCGCCAGGCAACCGTTTAAATGGCAGACTTTATACTTGTGCATGTACATCGTACATGAGGCCTATATGCTTCTGTCGCATTTGGCACCTCTTGTGTTGGTGATAAGGGTGGGGGAACACAAGACTATACCAACTCTATCAAAGGAAGAGAGATTTCACGTTCAAAAAGTTTCCAGTTCGGAGATTTTTACGTACCAAATGTCAACAAGAGTTGTTACCAATATTCCAGGCTGACAACGGGAATGCGATGGATTGGACATTACTGATTTCTCACTGCAGTGACATGTAACCGACCAGAGAGCAGTAATATGTCCTAAAAAGTCCAAATTTAACCTGGAAAATTTGTGAGGCCTTATTTAAATAGAGACCAGTCTCACAAGATTTGTGGACAGTCAGGTGATATTCAGATCTGGAACTCTTTCCTTTGGAATTTCAACTTGGGTCTGCATGTCTGTCAGCTTTGGTTCACCGATCAACAGAGCGATGTGTTCGTTAAGAAGAGTCACGACTGGTAAATTTGATTACACCTAGGAACATCCAATGTAATTAGCCAGCCACACGTTTTTGTTCTCTGATGTGCTTTGTTTGGTGTTCGCTTTCATGCATACGATTAAAAAAATATTGAAGGCTTGCCAATCATGTTTACACATCGTATTGGCTCCCCAAAATTTTATATTGAATGACTTACATTTGAATGTTTCACTTCCATTAGCGCGGAAAACGAAACGACAAGAGGATGTACCAGACAGAAGCTACATCAGTGTAGTAGTGTTAATTGATTAACATAATTAATTTATTGTTTATTTCTGTACATGGTGTACGTGATAATGTGTTTCTCGTCGGTCCCCGATTGACAACTGTGTACAAAACATATGGGTGGTTGTCTAAAAAAGTTGAAGTACAAACAAAAGAGGAACAATAGGGGGTCCCCAGTTGCAGGCAAATACACACTGCTCTATACACACGCACGTGTGTATAGAGCAGGCATCAGTCTCATGGCTGTTTATCGTCCCGTTTGGCATAAAACTGAATCAGGGAATCGAGAAAAATGCTTTCTTATACTGGTATTCAAGTCTGGATCCTGTGGGGCAGCACGGTGGCCATACCCCCCCCCCGGGACATATTAGGCCTACTTTTTGAAATCTAAGAAAA